AGAAATTTGGGAATAAAACATTAGGAGAAATCCTGCTGTTCACCAGCACATGTGCCCCGACTCTGCTTACTGACCTTACCTGAGTAAAGATGCTAAGTAAAATCTGCTTTTCCAACTGTATTGTTGTACTATTGGAAATATTGTTTCTGTCTCATGGAGGGGGGGATTGCTCTGAAGTGGAGATGAAATTAGGGACTGTTAAAGAAGTGATTAAGTGGGGGGAATTATTGACCAATCTTATTTTCTCCCACCTCCCCTCCAAATTTGTCCACTTGGAATTGTACTGTTACATTACCCTTGGCCTCATTTTGAAAGCCATTATCAAGTCATAGGAAAATAACTTTGGAATATAAACTGTTGATAAAAATAACAGATATTATTTTGCTCTAAACTATTGCTATGAATAATATGCATTCTGCCACTCTGTACTGAATTAAGACTTCATATGGTATATGATTTTTAGAAGTTTGCCAGGAAAAATGTTCTCTCCAAACCAGTTATGGCGCTTCTTTCTTTTCTGATAATAAGAGCAGTGTAGCTTGAGTAAGTTTGCCCAGGCTGCACAGCAAACTCACTGATACTAGCACTATCTTTAGTTAGTTTTTTCTTCTTCCTTTTCAGAATGGACTTTCTGTACCCCAATTTTTTTTTAATTGTAAGTGACTTTAAAATATTGTTTGGAAGACACAGATGATATCGACAAATACATTAGGATACTGGGTTACTGACAGTGCTGGCATTTAAAGATTAAAGAGAATGTTGAAAAACAAAATTCAGCCAAGTAAAAGTGGAGATCTGTCTTTGTTAAATGACTCATGAGTCAGGCAGCATCCCACCTAGCAAACAGGGGGGACCTCTGCTGAGCTCAATAAAACAAAGGTTATTAAAAGGGAAGAAGAGGTCATAAAAAAGAAGAACAGAATTTATTAGAAGTGCATTGTTCGGGCAAAGTTGCCCTCCTAAGGGGGAGCAGAATGTGTCCATTGACTAGGAAATGCCGTGTTGACTGGGTAACGTCACATTCCTGAGCAACCGAGACTGCATTCAGGTTGGGCATTAAGTCCTGGTTTGCTGACTCACCCTAAGTGATGCCCTCATTTCAGAATAATGTTGAGAAAACCCCTGAAATACTCACAACCTGTGAATACTTCTGCTGTCCCTTCTTTCTGGAAAGCTCCTCCCCACCTTTCCCNTGTCCCTTCTTTCTGGAAAGCTCCTCCCCACCTTTCCCATCACCTGGCCATCTCCTGCTCCTCCTCCAGACTCAGCCTAAACACCACTTCCTGGAGGCTTTCCCTGATCTTCTCTCCATCCATGGTTGGGTTAGACGCACCCAGAGTGTATTCCCTACCATTCCGGGGCTCCCTCTCTAGTACCACGTATCCCTTGGCATTAGAATGCCATGTTTCCCAGCCCCGCGCGTCCCTCTAGATGGTGCGCTCTCCTTCACCATGTGCAGAGTGCCGGGAATACGGGAAGGTGCTCAGCACACATCTCTGAACGAATGAACGACTACACCCTTTTGAAAATGCTTTGGTTAAAACAAGTTAAGAGGTGACTTTTAACACCACTTAATTATCTTATTACAAAATGTACTTTTTAAAAAAGATTTTATTTATTTATTTGGCAGACTGAGAGAGATCACAAGTAGGCAGAGAGGCAGAGAGAGAGGGGAGGAAGCAGGCTCCCTGCTGAGCAGAGAGCCCGACACAGGGCTCGATCCCAGGACCCTGGGATCACAACCTGAGCCAAAGGCAGAGAATTTAACCCACTGAGCAACCCAGGCGCCCCATTATTATTACAAAATGTACTTTAATGAAGTGTCAGGCTGCGCTAGTGTGAAAGTGTATGTTTAAAAGCAGCTTCTTAGTGCAGTCCTAGAAGAGCCAGTTCAGGAGCGTAAGTTTTGCGAGTCCTGCGTCTGAGTCTGAGATGACGTGAGAGCGCAGACGAACTCTTTCATCAAGAAGCTCCTGTTTTATTTTGCCTCTCTGATGAATTTTTGAGTTTTATATAGCTTGGTAGAGGATATCATTTTGTCAAAATGTGTTAATTTTAGATAGATTACATTAAAAGCTGCATTGCCCAGATAGATTCATATTTTCTGGGAAAAGTTGAGACTCTTCTCATTTCTGCCGACTTGGCTTCAGGTTCAGTCTGCTGCCCTGGATGAGATGTTTCAGCAGACCGAAGACATCGTTTATCGCTACCATAAGGCAGCCCTTCTTCTGGAAGGCCTCACTAAGATTCTCCAGGACCCTGCTAACATCAAAAATGTACATAAATGTAAGTCGACTTAGAAGACAGACAACCCAGTTGTCTCCTACAGGTGCAGCAGGAGGAGTGACCAAAGTTCAGCACCATATGGCCTGGGTTTGGATCTTGGCTTTGGGCTAATCCCTTACCCTTCCCGTGGTCTGTTTCTTCTTCTGGAAGATGAGAGAGTTGTTCGAGGGCTCAAGATAATGTACGTGAATCCTGGTGGCTTCGGATTTTCACACTGCATGACCGTGTTGGCAGATGTGCGTTTGTGTCTGTAGAGAGCTTTGGTTTTATTGTTAATAATAATAAAGGCAACTGTTCTAAGCCTCGTGAGCTTATTGGTGACTGAAGACTTTTATGAAGACTCCAGGGTAGATGTAGGATAGACAGCAGAGTGGGGATCGATAGGCTGCCAGGTGATGGTATCATTATCAGAAAGAAGCCCTGGGTTTTGAGGAGGGTATGGTGGGCCCTTTGGAGTTTACGTGCTCACACCACACAGCCTCAAAGGGATGCCAGTTCTGAAATGACTTGCATTTGGGAGCAAGTTGGCCATTCAGCCCTAAATGTCCTGTGTTTTATGTGACAGCCCAAGTTTTACCACTGCGCGTCACTGAGCTGGAAATTACATCCAAACAATTATCAGGCAGAAGGAAGACAAAATACTCAGAATGGCCAACTTTGGGCCAAAGAAAGGTCAGGGGCAAGGGTGCACGTGGAGAATTAATGGTGATGGGTTTGGTTTTT